GCTGGAGACTCCAGGTGGTGGCAGGACCTCCTCCACCGTCTGTGCTCAGGCGGGGGCCCAAGGACGTGGCATTCTGCAGCTGAGCCCCAGACTCTCTAGGGCCTGGGTATTAGCTGAAGCAGGGGCCCCATGCCACACTGGGCTGGCCTGGGGTTTGGGGCCCCTCCCTGCCCGTGAAGGCCACCCACCTGCTCCCTGCCCTCCTGCCTGGGCGTCTTCCCTCACTCTGGACACTTGTCTGGGAACCTCTGTTCCTTCTTTGAGCCACTGGTGGTCGGGGAGATGGAGGGTCTTATCAGGGTGAGCCCTGGCCCCTTTCCTGACTCCCAGGCTAAGGTGGGGAAACCACTCCTCACCTGGCCTTAACCAGAGTGGTAGTTGGAAGGCCTGGCCGTCTCACCTTGTCACAATTCCCACACATTTCAGGGCCAGACTTGGGATCCCAGGGTCAGGCCTGTGGCTCTGCTGCCTGGGGTGAGTGAAGTCTGGGGGCCCAGAGGTGGGCTGATGGTCCTGGTCTAGACCCGAGACCTGTCTGTCAGTCAGCTGCGCCCAGGCGTGCCCCTAACCCTACCCCCTGACCCCAAGCCCCCTCCCTCCCTCATCAGCGGGAGAGGCTGCCTCTGCTCTCCACTGCAGATCCCTTGGGGTGGGGCCAGCTGGGAGGCATGTGGGTACCTGGCTGGGTGTGTTTGCGTGTGACTCATCCTGGATGCCGAGGCTCTGAGTTGGTGGCTTTGTTCTGCCACTGGCTGGGTAGGGCGCATGCCATAGCCCTGAGTCACCAGGGTGTGGCCCAGCGGGCCTGGTGGCACTTTGCACACACAGATGGCACTGGGGCCAGGACATGCCGACCTGGGGGGCGGAGGGCCCTGCCTGGCATGGGCCCTGTCCTCAGTGCTTTCTCCCCAGTGGTGCTGTGAGCCCCTCCTGAGGTGCTCCTCGGTGACGAAGTGCCCTGTAGCCCTGGGGCTCTGTCCGGTTAGGGCCTGGAGGGGCTGAAGTGGTTTGGTGTCCGCAGACACAGCCAGAGACCCTGGGGAGCACACTGACCCTTCCTCAGCTGCCCAGTAAAGGCCATTGGCAGGCCATCATGTGCTACTACCCAAACTGTCAGCCCAGCGGGCCCTTAAAACAACTCCGGGAGGAGGAAACCATCACTCCCACGTTACAGAGACAAAAGCGGGGGTTAGGGAGGCTCATAGATGCCCAGTCACAGAGCTAGTGAGAGGCCAGCCGGCCTTAAGGCCCCTCATCGGGTGTTCAGTGGGGCCTGCCCTGTGCCAGGTGTGGGACATCAGTGATGGGGGCCTGGCCCCGGTCCTCCACTTCCGTCCAGTTTGCCACTGGGACCCCCGGACACCACTCCTCACTCAGAGTCAGGCAGGGGCCCCACAGGGCCCGGTGAGTGAGCAGCCCTGTTGCCCCTCCCAGCCACCGGCCCTGGGTCCTGCATCCCTCCGTGCCTCCGAAGATGCAGACAGACATGGCCCTGCTGGACTCCCGGGCCGTGCCCAGCCTGCTTCCTCTGGGCAAGAGGCAGGAGGCCCTGGGCCCCTGCTGGGCAGCTCCCTCCTTGGGGAACCAGGCCTCACTGCCCTCAGGGAAGGATAGAAAGTGTGGTTCCCACACAGTCACCAACCTCCCACCTCCTGCCCCCCACCTCCCCCTGCAGGTGCTGTGTGTGTGTCTGGGTGTGAGTGCGAGAGGGCAGGAGAGCCAGACTGGCTGTAAGTCAGAGGTGAGGGGGAAGCAGCGCAGGTTAAGCGCAGGCAGACACCGCCCCCCCCCACCCCCGGAGGGGCGAGGGTGGGAACCCAGGGATCGTGGTTCCCAGGCCAGGCTTGGGTCCTCAGACGTGCCTGTATGCTGTCTGGCTCTCTGACAGGCCAGGGGGCCGCTGGGGACCTGCTGCTCCCAGGGAGGGCTATTCAGGTGTCCTTGGGTGGGTGAGTAGGCACGGCTCCAAGAACAAGCCTCACCTCCTCCACCCACAGCCCCACCTAGTTCGGTCAGAAGCTGTTTGAGGGAGAAGAGAAAGTACCTTACAAGGTAACAAATGCTGTCTGCCAGGTGGAGGCCAGGCTACCTCCCTGCTTCCGGGCCTCCCCGCCCTTCTCAGGAAGAAGCTGGCTTCTGCGGTATCCCAGTCCTGGCCTTGAGCCCAACAATGACCCCTGGCCTCCATGGAGACACTGACACCTTCCCCAGACCCGGGTAAGGGCAGCTGGAGTGGGGGAGGCCTGGCCCTCCCCTCCTGGGAGGCAGAAAAGGCAGTCAGGGCTCAGAGACGGAGCTCACTGCTGTGTGACCTTGGCTAAGCGAGCTCTCCTTTCCAAGTGTCAGAGTTTCCTCCTCTGCACATTTAGGGAGGTGGGCTAGGGGTCGTGAATTCCCCCAAGGATCTTAAGCCCCATGGAGCGTCCCTTCACTTATAGACTCTTAACAGGCCAAGGCCACACCGCACAGCCCTGGCTCCCTTCTCCAAGCCCAGGAGACTTTGCTGGGCTCCCTTGGCAAGGGCCGCCCTCTCTGTTCAAGGGAGCTGGGGTCGCAGGGCAGTTCTCCTGGTCAGTTCTCCAGGTGGGGCGGTCTGGCTCAGCCTGCCTAATTCCCAGCGAGGGGGCCCGGTGGAGACGGCCTGAGGAAGCAGGTGCCCCTCCTTAGACCCGTCTCCCTGTCTGTAAAGCTCGCATCTCCAGCTCCCGACCAGCACCTCCCTTGAGAAGCAGCCCTTCCCTGGAAGCCCCCAGCCTACCCCCTGGCCATACTCTCCCCAGCCCTTGAGTGCAATGTGTTTTGTATCTTTCTGTGCTGGTCATCCTGTGTGCGCCAGATGCACCATCTTGGAATTTCACCCTGGAGATGAAAGGTGGGAGCGCCGACTCCATGCTCCCAGGGCAGTTTTCCAGCATTATCTCATTTGACCCTAGCAACAGCCCCTCTGCCAGGACACTTCGGCAAGTGAGTTCAACAGAGAGGTTACACAGCTTGGTTGGGGCAGAGTCTGGAGGCAGCCCCTGCTCTGGCCCTGGCCCCCTTGTGGGCGCGGTGAAGGAAGGGAGTGTGTCTTCCTGTTGGTCCTAGAACAGTCGGAGCTGGGAGTATCCTTGGATATTATCTAGTTCAGCCCCTCACTGTGCAGCTTGCGGAACTGAGGCCCAGAGCCGGGACTAGAGCCCGGGACTGCTGACCCCCAGCCCCGCCCCACTTCCTGGGCACAGGCTGTGCGCTCTCCCCACTCCCTCCCCGTATGGCTGGGCCTGGGCCCGGGGGTGCATTGGGTTTTGTGCTGGCGAATGCATCTTGGTGGCCCAGCTGGGAGAGGACAGGGCGAGGGCCAGGTCCCAAGCCTGTGCTGGGAGCGGGCGGGTCTGTGCTCCTGCCTCAGAACAGAGGGTGGAGGGAGAGAGAGAGAGAGGCCTGGGGCAGGGCTTCTCCATCAGCGATTGCACAGAGGTTTTCCAGGAAGCTGACGAAGTAACTTCTGCGTGCGAAGAAAACAAGACCAGACATGTGAGAATGGCTGAACTTTGCTGTCCTGTTCCCAGCCTCCCCTGCGCGGAGCGGCACTGAGAGGTCTTCCCCCAGCCCTCTACCTTGGTGTAGAAAGGACCCTCCTGAAGCCCCTTGGTGACACCCCTTCTTGAAAGCCCTGGGGATCAGGGAACCCCTCAGTCTCTTGCCAGTTTGGAATTCAGACAGTTCTAGCAGGAAGTTCTGCCTGGTGCCTGGCTCTGGTCTCTTCTGCTGTGTGTTTAACCCCCTCTTTTCTTGTCCTGTCCGCTGGAGGATGTGACTGTCCGGTGCTCAGGCCACAGTAAGTTGGAGGTCAGGACTGCAGATGCTCTCTCCTGTCCTCCACCTGTGGGGTTTGGGGAAACCCGAGGCTCCGTTCTGAATCCCCACAGGGAGGCCCTTCTCCTTGCCCCTCCCCAGCCAGCTGGCCTTGCCCTCGCCTTTCACACCTTGTGTGTGCTCCCCTCTCCTGGAAGAGAACCTGCTGCCTCAGGTTCTGTCCTTGCCTCTGCATCTGAGCTGGTTGCCAGCATCTTCTCTGCGTCCCACAGCAGCCTGTCTTTCCAATGCCTTGGGCAGTGCCTGTCACCAGTCGGTGCTCAATAAGTGTTACGAGCTTGTTAAGGGCAGCTCTTCAAGTACATGCTGAAAACCATGGTCAGCTGACTCTTCCTGATTTTACAGATGGGAAACTCCAGGGTAGACCCTGTAGGTCCAACCCATGGGGACCTTTGGCTCATAGAGCTCTAATGGGGGATTCTGAACACATGTGAACTTGGACTAGCTTTCTCTTCTGGCCTGTATGCAGGTGCCAGGCCCTGAAGAGGGTTAGGGGGCAGAGGAGACTGCCAGGCCTGTTCACAGATCATCACCCCCTCCTGTCATGGACTCCTCTGGGCCTGGACCAGGATCTATCAGGAAGTTCTAGAAGCCAGGAAGGCCAGGGCGTGGGAGGCAGAGGGCACGGTTCCTCCCAGGTCCTGGACTCAAAGGGGGGCTGAGAGCAGGGTCACAATCTGTGAACAGCTGTTCATGCATTTAGTGAGCACTTACTGTATACAAAACCCCACATTTGTATGGGGTCTGACGAGGCCTTAGAAATGACCTCTTCCCGCAGCTCAGAAACCTGAGGCGTAGAGAGGGTCCTGTGCCGCCCTGGGTCGCACAGCGGTGCATAGTGGCTGGGACTAGAGTCTCTGTTCCTTCCCCAGCACCTGCTGCCCACAGAGCTGCCTGAGGATGGGGCACAGTGGCGGCGGAGGGGGCTTCAGCAGAGGGAAGGACAGGCAGTGCTCAATGTTCTGAAGCACAGCTGCCAGCGCGGGGCAGTGGTGGTGGGCGGGGGGGGGGGGGCGGATAGGAAAGCCACATGATCCCAGACCTGGGAACATGGAGTTACTGACAGTCACAAAATGTGTGTGTGTGTGTGTGTGTGGCAGGGGCGGTGCAGCGTTTGTTCTGGGCAGGCTTGTTAAACGCCCATAGTAATTGCTACATAAGCATTTTGCTGTTGGTATTTGAGGGGTCTTAGAGCAGGCAGGCAAAGACCGGGTGGACATTCCCGGCTGGGTTGAAGGCAGGAGGAGGGGTGGGCATCAAGGGTAGCATGACAGGTGTGCTTGGAGGGTGTGTGAGCAGCTCGGAGTCAGGAAGAGGGGGCTCCAGCTCTGCCCACTTTCTGGGCAAGGGGAGTCCAGAAACTGGAGGCCACTTCTGCAGCCTGGCTGCGGGGTGTGCAGAGGGTGTCGCTGGTGTGGCTTAGGGGGTGTTGGGTGTTTCCGGGCTAGCTGAGAGGCTTGGCAGATCAAAGACGGTAGAAGGCAAGGCCTCTCTACCAGGCTCTGGCTTTCCCTTCTGCAGGACCCCCAGCAGGAAGTGTTTGATGAGTGACTGATCCGGGGTAGTGGGACCCGAGAGGCGGTGCCTTCTCCCGGACCTGCATCCACCTGCGGCGGCCGCCAGGGGGCGGGGCCCGACCGGCTTTGGGAAGCTTCTCCTCCCCTGCCCCGGGCGGGGCGCCCCTGAAGGCGGCGGGGCTCAGATGTGGCGTCGCCGCCCGCGTCGCGTCCCGTCCGGTCCGGGCGGCCCCGAGCCGCCTCCCTGCCCAGACACGCCGACCCGCGGGCGGGCGGACACCAGTTGTCGGCGCCACGAGAACAGAGGTTTCGGAGCCCCTCCCCGGTACTGGCGCCACACGGGGTCCTGTCCCCGTCGGGCGCCGTGGGGGTGGGCGTGGAACGGTGCGGGAGACACAGATCCCGAGTTCCTGAGTTTCTGGGCCCAGGGGACCCCCCCTGCCCGCAGCGGCATGACACACCTGCTCTGATGGTGGGTGGCTAGGGCCCTGGGCCCCCCCTCTCCGGTGGCCTCCCCCCTGTCCTGCTGGAGGCAGCCAGAGCTGTGCTGGAGTCCCGGCTCTGGCCTCAGTTTGCTCATCTGTAAACGAGAGCGATGACCCTACCTCCCAGCACTGTCGTGAGCGCTGACCATAGGAGAGGCTCATGGACAGTGGCCCGGGACAGTGCTAAAGAACGTCCCTGCCCACCTCCCCAGTCAGACTGGCAAGACTCCCCAGGGAGGGGCCTCGTGGTCGCCTGCACCCCATCCCATCCCAGAGGGGCCGGCTCTGGCAGTGTGGGGTGGCGGAAGCAGGGAGAGCACAGATCCCATTGCCAGTTGACAGATGGGTAAACTGAGGCTCAACTTCCCCCCATGAGTTAGTGACAGAAACAGGAGCAGACCCAGAGCCCCTAATTCCCAGTCTAGCGCTTTTTTTCCATTTTCTTATCTCCACATTTTTTGGGGTTTACAACTGCAGGGCCGCAGTGGTGGAGAGGGTATGGGTCTCAGAATATGTTCAGGATTCCCCTTTCCACACCCAGGCCTGTTTGTGGTCACACCAGTGACCGCTTCATTCTGGCATGCTCTAGGCCCCTGGAGTTCCAGAAGGGAGCCTGTCTGGGCACTGATACTCCTGTCAGCCCTAAGGCTGGGCCCTGCGAAGAAACCTCCTGAAGCCTGCTCCTCCCAATAGAAGATCAGCTGACTTGGGGGTGTGCACCCCCTCTTTCTCTTTCTACCCGACCAGTTAGGCAGTCCCAGGACACAGAGCAAAGCTCTGAGTGGGAGATTTGCTAGAGCCCCGGCTGTCTCCAAAGAGGGTGGCAAGGCGTCAGGAGGCCCAGCTCCACGGCGGGCCTAGGGCAAGGCCCCTCCTCTCTCTGGGCCTCAGTCTCTCCATCTGTGAAATAAGGTGGTTGGCTACACTTCTGCGGCTGGGTGTCACCCCTGGGATACCTGTGCTACTGTCATACAACCCTACACCTGAGGTGTGAGGTGGCCCTGACCTGTTCTGAAGGGACCTGGAAGGGGAAGGGCCTGGGTGGGTTGCACCCGCTACCTTCGGGCCAGTTTACCAAAGAAAGGGGCTCTTCCTGTCTGCAGTATGGCAGTATGTACGCCACTGTCACTGTATGGAGTGTGGCAGTGGTTCCTGCCAGGTTCTCCCTCCCCACCTGGGGGTGAAGACAGGCAAGGGGAAGAGTCCCAGTCATCCCTTTGGGGCCTGATAGTTCGGGGGCTTGGCGATGGAAAGGCACACTTTCAAGGGGTGACCTGCTGTGTGGTCTGCAGAGCCCGCCTATGAGCCCAGCTTGTTCTCTGCTCTGGACCCAAGTGACAGAGCTCCTCTCCCTACCGGCCCTGGGCACTAGGGTGGCCATGGGAGTGGCCTGGGGGGCAGGGTTTTGTGAGGGGACTTAGAGTCCTTGGGAAAGGAGCTCACAGGGATACTGGCCAGCTTCCTTTTCCTTAGGAGGCCAAGGGGGGGCATGTGTGTGTGTGTGGGGCAGGGCCTGCCACCTCTCACCCCACCAGGGGTATAGTCTCAGCAGCCTTGGGCTTGTGAGGAGATGGAGAGGGGGTGTCAGGCAAGCTGGAGAGCCCCAAGGGGGACCCCAGGCTCCCTCTGTGTCAGGGAGGGCCCCTGCAGCACCCCTAACTCACTGTGGGCAGGGCAAAGCCTATGGCGGGTTGGAGGGTGACTGGCTCCCTAAAGCCTCCATTTTGTACCCCAACTGTCTGTGGCCAAGAGGAAGAGGGAAGGCAGCAGGAATGCAGGAATGAATCCTGGGCAGGCCCTGTCCCAACAGGCTGGGGTGGGAGGGCCAGGCTCCCGTGTGGGCCCACGCCCTCCTCAGCACAGCTCGTAGCTAGGCAGCCCGCACAAACAGCAGGAACACAGAGCAGCCCCGCATGTGTGCACGCGTATGTGCCTGTGCTGGGGGCCTCCTTGCCTCAATCCCTAGATGGGAACCCTTCTGGTTACCCTATAGTCACCGTCCCATGCAGGCCTGAGGATGGGGGTCTGTCTGCTGCCACTGCTGAGCGCTTACTATGTGTCGGGCCTGATCCATTCATTAGCTCCTTTAACCCTTACAACCCGATAGACAGGCACCCTTATTACCCACTTTATGGACAGAGATACTGAGGCTTTGAAAAGCTGCACACACAAAAGATCACAGAGCAAGAGAGTGGGGAGCCAAGCCAGAGTGCAAACTGAGGCCTTTCTGTCTCCAGAGTCTGGTTCTCCTCCAGGCATGTGTAGACGTGTGTGCACATGAGTATCGACTGAGGGCTGTGTGTGTACCCAAGTGTGCAGTTGTGGGCTTCGATGGCAGACCTGTATCAGTCTGTGTTTATCTAAGGACGCCTGCCTGTAGGTGTGGATACCTGGGCCCAGGCATGGAGGCGTGCATGCAGACGTGTGTGAGCATGTGACTCACATAAGTACCCACGGGCATATCTGTGCATATGTGTTCACACATACGGCACTTGAGTGCACACGTGCACATGCTGTGTACATGCGTTCACGTGTGCACACCGCTGTGAGCCTGTGCGTATGTCGTCCGCTCCAAAGGCTGACCTTGCCCTGCTGCTCACCCACCTCCTGTCCCTTTCTCAAGCTCCTGACTCAGTGCCAAGATGGGCTGTGTGATGGCCTTGTTGACGGCGCTGGGACTTCTGAGGATTTGGAAGGAAAGCCGTTTTGGGGAGGGATATGATTGGCAAGGGGTTGGACAAGAGGAAGACGCAGGGGATAAGAGGGATTAAGCCTGGGGGTGGGGGTCAGCCTGGGTTTTCTTCAGTCCCAGGCAGGGGCAGAGGACCCTCTGCGGTCTGGGAGCCTCGGTCCTGTCCCACCCCCTGGCGTTCTCTATCCACCTCTGTCAAGGCTCAGACCCCCAATACCCCGGAAAATGCTCCCGGGAGCCTGCAGGAGAGTCCTAGGGCCGGGAGGATGCATCTGTGAGGTCTGTGCCCTGTCCCCTTACTGTGTGTGGCAGGCAATCCCCCCTCAATCCAAGATGGGACTCCCCTGTGGTTCCTGGGTGTCGGGGAACTTCCCATTGCACCGCCCCTTTGCACCGACGCCCTCGGGCTCCTGCTGGCCGTGGACGTGCAGGCGGAGCAGCGGTCGGCTGGGGGCGCTCGGGGCCCGCGGATGGAGATGCGAGACAGGTCCGCCAGGATGGGAACCGGCCGGGCGGGGGTGAAACACAGGTACAGTCCCACCAGCAGGGCGGGTGGAGGTGGGATCCGGAGGACCGACCTTGCGCCAGGAGGGCCAGATTCCCAGTGGGACAGAAATACACCCTCTCCACGGAGGGTCAGACTCCCACCCCCCCACCCATAGACTCACAGACCCTCAGAGGGACAGGCAAAGGGACGCCCCCTCCCCCTCTGGAGCCTTCTGGGCTGGTGTTCGAGGGCCCTGGGCGAGGCAGAGGGAGCTGGGCGTGACCCACTGGCCTGACACGGTGTGCTGGGCCTCTGTGGCAGTGAGAAGGGGGCGAGGGCCCTGCAGTCAGACAGATTTGCCGACTGATTCCCGTTCGGCCTCGGGGTGACCCTGGGCAAGGCACTCAAGCTCTCCTGAAAAGGGGACGATGTCTGCTAGGTGCCCAGCACCTTCCTTGACACACACCTTGGCCGTGGAGCCTATTACAAGTTTCCGGAGGTTCCCTCACGGTACGTCTGCACATTTCTTCCCCAGATCTTTAATGAGCACCCGCTGAATGCCAGGCCCTTTTGTGAGACCCTCTGGGTGCAGTGATGAGCACGTCACACAAGGGGGCACCTGCCTCCAGGAGCTTAGGTTCTAATGGGGGCAGGTGTCCTACGGCTTGCCCTTTGATTCTCCAAAATGGAAATTACGGAGTAAAAGAAAGGCTGGCAGAGAAGGCGCTTTCTCTCTCTTATTTCTTGTCAAATACTGGGCTGGGAAAATTCCAGATTTAACTGTTCTGCTCTGGGCCTCTGCCTCTCACCACAGAAGTCAGGATCTGACTCTCCATCCCAAACACTCCGTCTCACTTAGTTGAAGCTGGAGTCCAGTAATGCCCATGAGGCCGGGCACAGCCTGGCCCCCAGCTTGACCAGTCTCCTCCCATTCTCCCCTTTGTCCCTCCACTGCTGCTGCTACACTGGCCTCCTTGCAGGTCCTCAAACGTGCCAGGCAGGGTCCTGCCTCAGGGCCTTTGCCCTTGCTGTTTCCTCTGCTAGAATGCTCTTCCCCAGGCGTCCATGTGGCTCTCTGCTTCACCCCTGTCTGGGCTTTGATGAAATGTCTCCTTCTCAGTGAGGCTTTCCCTGACCTCCTATGACTCCGCCCACCCCCAATATTCCCTATGCACACTGCGACCTAAGTTTTCTCCATACCATTTATTATTGCCATCTGGCCAACTATATCTTTTATAACATGTTTCTTTCTCATCTGTCTCTCCCCATGAGAATGTAAACTCCATGTGAGCAGGGGTTTGGGCACGTTTGTTCGTGCTCTCTCCCCAGAGCCTGCAACATGCCTGGTGCACTGTAGGCGTCAATAAATATTTGTCAAGTGAATGCTGAGTGCTGGCTCTGAGTGGCACGCATCCCTTGGTGATGGGGGCTGATGACAGGGGGATCCCTGACTTTTAGGCCTCAGCTGGGCCGCAGCTGCCGTAAACCTGTCAAGGGCTGGAGGACTGGGGGCGGGGAGGAGGAGACGGCAGGAGTGTTCTGGTTCTTTCTTGCTCTCTTTGGGACAGAAGTTGAGTGGCTACGGTAATATCCACCAAACTCTCGTGCCTTAGTTGGGAGAGGGAGAGGCAGGTTTCTCCCTTTGAAAAAAATTATTATCGTACAAAAATATACCAATCAAAGTCGGGGAGGTGTTGCTTCTCTCTCTCTCATTCCTCCCCACTTCCTCCCTTTCTTTTTCCCTTTCTTTTTCTCTCTCTCTCTCTTCCTTTCTTTTTTTCTTTCTTTCTTTCTCTCTTTCCTTTTTCCTCAACTACCCGCCCCATCTCTAACAACCACCAATCTGTTCTCTGTTTCTGTAAGTCTGCTTTTCTTGGATTCCTCATGTGAGATCATACAGTATTTGCCTTTCTCTGTCTGACTTCTTTCACTTAGCATAATATCCTCAAGGTCCATCCATGTCGTCGCAAGTGGCAAGATTTCCTTCTTTTTATGGCTAAGTAGTGTATATACCACAACTTTATCCACGCAGCCATAGTTGGATACTTAGGTTATTTCCACATCTTGGCTGCAATAAAGATGGGACTGCAGATATCTCTTCAAGACAGTGATTTTGTTTCCTTCAGATAAATACCCAGAAGTGGATCATAGGGTAGTTCTATTTTTAACTTTTGGAGGAACTTCCATACTGTTTTCCACCAATTTACATTCCCACCAGCAGTGCACAAGTTTCCCTTTTCTCCACACCCTCGCCAGCACTTGTTACCTCTTGTCTTTCTGATGACAGCCATTCAGACAGGTGTGAGATGATATCGCATTGTGGTTTTGATTTGCATTTCCGTGATGATGAGTGACGTTGAGCATCTTTTCATGTGCCTGTTGGCCGTCTATATGTCTTCTTTGGAAAAATGTCTACTCAGTTCCAATGCTCACTTTTAAATTGGATGATGATGATGATTATTATTGTTATTTGCTAGTTTTAAAACGTTTTATTGGGGTATAGTTGATTGACAATGTTGTGTTAGTTTCAGGTGTACAGCAAAGTGGATCTGTTATACATATACATATATCCACGCCTTTTCAGGTTCTTTTCCCTTATAGGCCAGTACAGAGTAGAGTTCCCTGTGCTATACAGTAGGTCATTATTAGTTATTATTGCTATTTGCTATTGAGTTATATGTGTTCTTTACATAGTTTGGATATTAACCCCTTAACAGGGATATGATTTGCAAATATTTTCTCCCATTCCGTAGGTTGCCTTTTCATTTCGTTGATGGTTTCCTTTGCTGTGCAGAAACTTTTCAGTTTGATGTCGTCTCACTTGTTTATTCTTGGGAGATGTTTGTGTTTCTGAACAGAGGGTTCCAGCGGGGGTTCGCAGGGGTTACACATTCTCCACCAGGACGCACGTGCAGTACACCTTCTGGAAGCCCACATGGGCCTTGGCCATCTCGTCAGAATAATCACCCGGTCTTTAAGTCCCAACTGTTCCCAGTAGAAGGAAAATGTTTTACCCATCCATTCCCTGCCCCACGTGCAAGAACCAGCCCCCTGGGGACTCCTGGGTTTGGGTAAGGCCGCCTTTTCAGCCCTAGGGATGATGTCGCCTCAGTGTTTACTGATTTCTAGAATACCTCTGCTTTCCTCCTTTGTTCTTTACACCTTCAATACCCACACTTTCAGTTCCTTGCGTTGAATCCTCTCTGTTTGAAATGCCTAGCCTGGTTTCTCTTTTCCTGACCAGATCCCAGCTGATACATTAAAGAAGGGAAAATCAACAGACAAAGCAGGTTGCGCTAAATGCTCTGAAGAACACAGGACAGGGTAACCATGAAATAGAAAATAACAAGCAGTGTGCAGGTCGTGGGGGTGAGCGCTCTTTCACATGGGCAGGCCTCTCTGAGGAGGTGATGTTGGGTTGACAAATGAGAAGGCGCCACACCTGGGGGCTGAGTATTCCAGGTGGGATCAGGGTCTCTGAGGCCTGCGGGCCGCGGCAGCCTCTCTGTGGAAGGCACTGAGCCTGCTCCTGCGGGCGGGCGATGATCGGGGGCGTGGTGGTGGGGAGAGGAGATGGCTTAGTCTGTGGCCCCAGATTGAGGGCTCAGCCCCGGGAGCCTCTGAGCATTGAGGCCTGAGATTTGCGCTAAATGTGCGGGGATCTGGGTTATGGATTCAGCGCTGGGAACCGCATACCCCCTCCCTGCTTCCCGCCTCACCCTCCCCAGGGGAGCGGAAGCCTCTGCAGGCTCAGGTTCCTAAGACGTGCTGGTCTCGCCGCGGCCGGCAGAGGGCAGTGGTTGCCGAGGTGCGCGCAAGTCGGGCGGGCGCTGACCTTTCCCTAGCGGAATGTGGGCGGTCAGCTTCTGCCGGGAGCGGGACGGTTGGGCCCCTCCCCTTCCCTTCCCTCGTCTAATCCTCAGCCGCCCTCCAACACATCTCTGAGCCCCTGGCCTCTCCTTGCGGGTTTGGGGGGAGGGAGATGCGAGGGAGGCTGGGCAGATCTTGCCTAACCACTCCTGCCCAAGTTCCAACTCCATTGGGATAAGGGGAAAGGCTCCCACAGTTAGCATATTTGCTATATTGTTATTTTTAAGCGTTTAGCATGTACCAGGCACAGCGCTAAGTTCTTTTATCATGCATCATCTCTTCACACCAGATCTACGAGACAGGTACTCTGTCTCCCAGAGCTTGCCCAAGACCACACAGCCTGAACCAGGATTTGCTCTGCTGGCCGCTTCTCAATTCCTCTGACTGCAGCCTCCAAGGAGGGCGTGTTGCCCAGGGAACTGAGGTGAGTGTGCAGCGGGTGAGCAGAAGGGGACCATCAAGGTGCTGACCCTGAGGGATCTGTAGCAGTACTCATCTACTCCTTTATTTTGCAGATGAAGAAACAACTCCAGCGTTGCCCGAGGTCCCACGGGGATCAGTCACGTGGTCGGCCACAACAGAGGATTCCCCATGACAGGGGACCACGAGTTGGATCCTGGCCAGAAGCCAGAAGCCCCTTGAGGGCAAGGACCCCATTTTACCCCACTCCTCCCTGCTGTACCTAGCACAGGGCACAGCATATAGCGGGTGCTCAAAAAGTCCTTCACGAGTAAATCTTGCATCCCTCGGTAGCTGCAGTCACCTGCCTTTCTCGCCGTCATTCATTTATTCAGCATTTAGTAAGCGCTGACTGTGTGCTTGGCACCCTACTGGGCGCTGGGACGCACAGTTGAATAAGGCACAGTGCCTGCCCCTGTTGGCTTATCTCCTGGTGGGGGTTTCAGGGGTTACCCCACGTTATGACCCGTGCCCCCATAGTTTTCCTCATTCCTCTGCTCAGCCTGGTACTGGCAACCTGCTCCACTCCCGCCCCCAGGCCATTCCCACTGCCTTCTTCTTTGCCAGACCAGACAACCCTTCCTCCCAAGCCGCCTCCCTCCCCTCCTCCAGGAAGCCCTCTTTGACTAAGTCCCCCAGCTGCTCTGCAGGCCCCAGTGCTGAGGTCTTGAGCTCTGCCCGGGTATCTCTGGTTCCGTCTCTCTGTTTCTGTTTTCCCCCATCAGCCTCTGGAGCTTCCCAAACACAGGGACTGCCTCCCCTCCAGCTGTTTTTCCTCAGGCCTACATAGACCAGAAGAGGCAGGAAGGGAGGTCGTGTAGTCAGCTCCCAGCACACAGGGCCTGCCTTAGGCTCTGGTCCCGGGACCCCCTTAGAGGAAGATCTCTCTGCGACTACCAGGGCACTGACTTAGTCTTGGCCCAAGACCCCTGAGCCCTGATCTTCCACACTGTGCCTGGGGGCTCAGGCTGGGCACCAGCTGTTGGGTATCTACTCAGCCCCAGCACCCTTTGTGTTTGAAGATGGGGACCTTCAGTCTGCACTTCACCAACTCCCGGGCTTGGCCATTTTACTGTCCCTGTGGCAGGTAGTCTACAGGTGAAAAATGGTTCCAGGGAACCAACATGCTGCCTCTTATCTTCTGGGTGACCAAAGTTACAGTGCTAGGCTTCTCTGGGCCTCTGCTAATGATACCTGTCCAGCCCATCTCACAGGTAGTTGGGAGGACCAGAGACCAAGGAGCCAAGCCCAGGTAGGGGCTTATTTTTGTTGTTGTACTCAGAGCAGGGGTTGTGCCCCTTTTTTTTTTTTGTGGTACGCGGGCCTCTCACTGTTGTGGCCTCTCCCGTTGCGGAGCACAGGCTCCGGATGCGCAGGCTCAGCGGCCATGGCTCACGGGCCCAGCCGCTCCGCGGCATGTGGGATCTTCCCGGACCGGGGCACGAACCCGCGTCCCCTGCATCGCAGGCGGACTCTCAACCACTGCGCCACCAGGGAAGCCCCAGGGGTTGTGCCCTTGGCTAGGTGTTCACTGAATCACTCTGGAGCCAGGAGTGGGAAGGAGGAGGAAGGAGGGAGCTTGCACGAGGAGGGGGAGTCAGACTCCAGCCTTCCTGGCAACTCATCAGGATCCTCCGCTGGCAGGAGCGGGGCAGGAGAGTGTCCTCGTTTGGGTAGGGAAGTCATTATTTCCCTCCCCTCTGTCCCTCCCTCCCTCTCTGCACTCCTCCTCCTCTTTCTCTCTCTTTATCCCTCTCCCTTCTCTCTGTGTCTTTGTGCACTAACTGTGCTCACTCAACTTGCCAGCCATTACATTCGCACCAGGGACACAAAGGCTGAGGAGATGTGCCCTTCCCTTCATGGGACTTTTAGGCTAGGAGACCTCGGTTGGGGAGGTACATCGTTCATTCATTCTTTCATTAATTTTACTTTTATTGAAAACCTGCTACGGGTCAGGCACTGTGCAAGGCCCTGGGGACGTAATGGGGTGCAATCCCTGCCCACAAGGAGTTTAGAGGATAAAAGGCACAAAAGTAGGCAATGGAAGCATGGCTAAAGTAGGGGATTAGGGAGGCCAGGATACAGAGATAAATGCTGGCTGGATTTAATGTCTCCCTAAGCATGCAGAGCAGGGCCAGGCACAGACCAAGTATGTGCTCAGTAAACGTGAAATACGTGACCCTCGTGTGGGGAGCTTTCTAAACAGCTTATGAGTCAAAGAATAAAACCGTTTTAACTAAATGCTAATAAAAAATGCTAATATGAAGCAGTCAAAATAGTACATAAAAGGAAATTTATGGTCTTTAGACAATCTTATATTGAAAAAGAAGAAAGATGGAAAACTAAAGATTCAACTCAACAAGTCAAAAACTGATAAAAATAATAAATTCAAAGAAAGTAGAAGAAAGGAAATAACGATAGGTCATTTTTTATGTTATAAATATTATGAATTCAGTTTCAGAAATTCAAATTAGTATTCAGAAATCCATAATTCAGAAATTAACAGAATAGAAAACAAAGATAAGTAGTAATTCAGAAATTAATACAATAAAAAACAAAGATGATATAAGTAAGAGAGCTGGTCTCAGTTCCCAGGCCCTTCCTGAATAGGAATGGGGTTTATCCACCGTCTCTTCTGAGCTTTGAGAGTGGAGCCCATCCCTCAGGGGCCCCAGGAGAATGGATAAACCCTGAATGGAAGTCTCTAGTCTCCCAGCCCAAGGGCATGGCTGTGCTGTGCCCTGAGAGAGCCAGCCTCAGGCCTGTTCGCCTGATTTTAGTCTCTCGACTAGGGGGTTGTCTTTAAGCCATAACGTCCGCTGTAATAACTATAACAACATCACTAATAATACTTTACCTCTCAAGCAAGACATGTGCTATTCCTGGTAGGAGTGAACCCAGCCATCTTGTCAGATCCCCAAACACCCTTTTAGGTAAGTAGGGAAGCTGTATGCTCATTTTACAGATGGGAAAAGTGAGGCTCTGTCTGAGGCTTCATTCCAGTGAGTGGGTGAGCCAGGACACGAATGCTTCAAAGGCCCTTCTTCACCCCCCAGATTCCTGTCCTTGAGACATCTCTTCTTCCTATCCCCGGGTTCCCTGAACAAGCCCCTCTCCCCTGCTTTCTTCACTTGGAGAGGAAGTTCGGCTGGCTGCCGTGAGCAGATAGCTCCTCTCTTGACCTGACAGCGAGCTTCTCGAGGTGGCGGGGTGGGGAATGCTCATAGGTGTCCTACCACGGGGCTGGGCTTGGATAAGGCCCTCAATCCTTGTTTGTTGATCTCGAATTTGATTGGGCAGGATTAGGCCTGTACCTATCAGAAAATATTCTGGGCTGTGCCAACCAGCACGATCGGACGGACGTGCTTGAGGGGGAAACGCCGTCACATAGGGAATCCCCTGTGTCTGTGCTTACTGAGGCGGCCACGTGGTGCCTGGGCATATCGGGAGGCGCTGGGAACATAGGTCACACCGGTACAGCCTCCTTGTCGGATGGTGGGGCAGGAGAACTTTTTGTGTCCAAGTTGCATTGGTTTGAAGGTATAACTAGGTCCCTGGACTCCTTTCCCCATAACTGGAGAATTTCCAAAGTCCTGTGGTCAACCTGATTGACCAGTGACTGACCAATCCTGAGAGGGGAGATAAAAACAGACACACAGCTTTATCCATGGACAAATCTCAGCACTTTATTCATCCCTTGGCGGGGAGAAGGGGGCATTGCCCCAATATAGTCAGCCAGTCAGGTGGGGTGGCTGATGTGTTGTCTCTCCAGATAGTATAATACATAGCACTGATTATGCAGAAACAGGAAGAGAAGCAATAAGTTAAAAGATGTATAAGTTATGAAAAAATAATATATATATATACTTTTTATATCTTGTATCCCCACTGAGGATTTGCTCCCTTGGAAACCAATAAATAGGCAGAGAAAAACAGCAATCAGCACCCTTTTGGGACTTGAGGGATGAGTGTATGTCTGAGTTCCCTCAAGCCTGAGAGTCATTGCCCTTCAGTGCCCCCCACAGGCCTGGAGGACCCTGAGACCTAGGAGGGGGCCAGAGCCTTGGGCCACCCTCTCCTGGAAAACAAGATGAATGAATCAAAACTGGGGCTAGAAGAGGAGGTGAGGCAAGGGGCAGGTAGGGAAGGAAGGTGGCTTATGGAGTGGCAGGCTGGAGCCCCCGAAGGTGAGAGCCAAGGGGAGGAAAGAGGAGCCCCAAATCTTCTTGTTGGATCGCTGCACAATCTCTCTTTGGTTGTTATCGGGGCCCTCCCGCCCGACCTCAAGGGCTCAGCAGCTCCCAGACCCGAATGGAAAGTGCCTTCTTCATGACCCATCTACCCTCCCGCCCCGGTGGCACGGGGGCGGGCATGGAGGGAGGAGGCGTGGAGGGGGGAGAAGGGAAGGAGCTCTAACCCACAGGTATGGGTGCAGAGGAGGCGAGGGCCAGGCTGCTTGGCCCCATGCAGAGAACAGAGACGCCCAGGAGTGGGGTTCACGGGAAATGGGCCTGGGGTTTCATGGCAGGGGTGGGGCTAGGGGTCTCAAGGGCCTGGTGCACCGAAGCCAGGTTTCAGGCTGGGAAACACCTGGGTGGGAGGCAGAGAGCTCAGATCCCAGGCAAGGTGGTGAACCCCAGGATGGCAGGGAGGAGAAAGGAGGGTCCAGTTCTCCTGCCTGATCTCCGGTTGCCATGTGGCCTCCTCGCTTCCCACCTCCCCGCCAGGGAGTTCGTCACGGCAAGAATAACTTCTAGAGAAGGGGCTTGGGAGCTGGCTGGGCAGCCTGTCCACGTCTGACTGTGACCTGCTGGGAGGGACCCACAGGAGGAGGGAGGGGGCACAGGTGTCTGCGCTGATCTCAGAGGTCCGGGCTCAGGTCCCAAACACCCAGGGAGCCTCTTCCCCTCCCTTCCTGATACTGTCAGGTCTCCAGGGAGCCCAGGTGGTGCAGGAAAGCCCGGGGTCCTCAGCACCCAGCCTCCCCAGGAACTCCAGATGCGGAGGGTGCCCAGGCAGTCCCATTAGCCCCTGGTCCGTGGCTGGCCAGGGCTGGGGGAAAAAGGGCATCGCCTCGGTTCCGAGGCAGAGGCAAGGCAAGACCTGAGACGTGAACTTAGGGCAAGAGTTGGGCAAAGGGTCAGGGGGACCTTGGTTCAGAGCCCTCTGTCGTGGGGAGGAGCGAGGAGGTGCAGGAAAAACAGACGCCCGATCCCAGTTTACCCAGTCAGGAAAACCTCTGGCCAGAGGTTGGAAGGGTGGGACTGTGAGATATTGATGTGGAGCCCAGTGACTTTGAA